TCCTCGTTTAGCGACTACCTCATTTAGCGACTGCCTCATTTAGGACCATTTGCAATTACAACAGTGATGAAAAAGTAACTTTGCAATCAGTCCTCACATATATGACCTTCACAGGTCTGTAAAACAAAGGAAAGCTGAAGTAAGATCGTAAGCACAGTTGTGGTTTCATTTAATGAGGATACCTGTAATTATAGCTGGGTCAGGTCAAGTCCTGTTCTAATCTAGCATTTTGCTTCTTACACTGGACACCATGGTATATATGTTCCTTTCTAAGATGGCATTTTCAGGATCTCAAAATTTTAAAAAAAAATATGGCTGATCTCTTTCTAGGTGGCCAACTCTCATGAGGTATTGATATCCACACTCAAAATTTTGCCTATTACTTTGTTTCTATTTAGTTTTGGCATCCATACCAAGAATGACTTACAGTACCCTCCCAGATCAACATTGATTCCTAGATTACAGTTAGGGCATCATTAGACCAGGTTAAAATCTGGTTGGCTAGTTGTGGCTGAATGTGTTGGGCAAACCTAGTCTTTTATTGTAACCTGTCAAGGGTCTGATGGCCCTTTAGCACAGGCAGGAAAACAGGAAGTTCATCAACCTCCTAGTGAACCACTACTCCATAATCAAGTGTGGCCCTTGTCTTTAAAAATCTCAGAAAGGAGATTAAGTACCTGAGCATTCAGGAGGCATTCTCATTCATCCTTCCAGTCCATGGAAGAAGACTGGAGAAGTTAAGAAGACTACTGTAATCCAATGATTATGATAGAAAATATCTGGTTTCTGTAACCCTTGTCTGATGTATCAAGATAATGAACCACTGGAACAAAAAGGGTTGCACTTCACAAGGACAGGTAATAATGTGTTTGGCCAAAACATATAAAGATTGATTAGAAAGGTTTAACTCAATCCTGTGAGATGTGGAATACAAAACCTGAAATAAATCTCTTAGATGAGGACATGTAAATAGTAGAAGGTTGTTTAAATGTATTGTTAAAATGGAGCCTCTACAACCACTCAAAGTCAAATAAAAAAGAACATTGACTCGTTCGTTGTCTGTACACCTATACTCAGAGAATGGGAAATAAACAAGATTAGCTGGAACTCTTAATCCAGAAGGGCGGATATGACTTAATAAGTACCAGAGAGACTTGGCAGGATGTCATCCATGACTGAAATATAGCAATTGAAGGATAGCATATATTCAAAAGGAACAGAAGAGGCAGAATGCATTGAACTGTAAGTTAAAAGCCTCCTTTCTTGCTCAGAAATCCAAGTGAATGAATTTGAAATGCTGTAGAGAGCACTTGGGTTCATTGCTGAATAAGGGTTTAAGTGGAATCCTTGGAGTTTTCTGAGCTTGGTTGTTTTCTTGCAGACATTTCGTTACCCAACTAGGTAACATCTTCAGTGCTAGAAGGGAGTGGGGTTCGCCCTCTGTTTATATACAGCAGCTTGCCCTGTCAGTGTTGGTGGGGGTGTTGTTTTCTCCTTGGTAGTTCTTCGATTAGCCTGGTGTTTGCTGCTTGATTGTTTGTCTGGTGTTAATCCTGGTGCTAATTCCTGCTTATCTGTGTGTTGATTGCTAGTGAGGAGGTGCTCTGGCCTTTTTGTTTCCTTTTAACTTTTTATTGTCTCTTTTGGATGGTGTGTAAATGTTGTTTATCTCTATGTGCCTGTTGATGGCTGACTTGCGTGAATACCAAGCTTCCAGGAATTCTATCGCAGTTTTTAGATTTAACTTGGTCTAAGATGCTGACAGTTTCCCAGTTGCCATGTGGTTGTAATATTCTGTTGGTTATAAGTTGGTTGTAACCAACAGACTATTACAACCACATGGCATCACCATTGTACACAAACCAGCTAAAGCCCTCCAAAACATCTTAAGTAAACCAAAAGATTCAGTAGCCCAAGAAGAAAAAACAGGAGTTATCTATAACATATAGTGTAAGGACTATAACAGCCACTATGTAGGACAGACAGGCAGAAGACTAGCAGAGAGCATCCATGAACACCAATTAGCAGTCAGAAGACACAGTGAAAACTCTTTAATCTTACAACACATGGACAAACTCAACCATAGTTTCAAGGAACTATCAAGGAGAAAACAACATCCCCACCAACACTGACAAGGCAAGCTACTGAATATAAACAGAGAGCAAACCCCACTCCCTTCTAGCACTGAAGATGTTACCTAGTTGGGTAACGAAACGTCTGCAAGAAAACAACCAAGCTCAGAGAACACCAAGGACTCCACAGTTCAACCCTGAGCTACATATATTCTCTTCTAAGGGTTTAAGTGTCTGGAAAGCTGAGACTCATTGCTGTATCCTGATGTGAAGCATGACAGAGAGAATGTTTATCAAACCTGTAGATGATATTGGGTGGGATAGCTAATACCCTAGAAGAAAGAAATAAAATTCAACATGATTTTGATAGGTTATTGCAATTACGGCCTTACAGCTAGAAGATAGGTTAATAGGTAAATACCAGAATAAAATTTAAGACAGAAGTACAGAGTTCTTCACTTACAAAAATCAGTTGTGCAGGTACAGGATGAGAATATCTGGCTTGATGATAGTACTCGAAAAAGTATCTTAGCTGCCAAGAAGGCAAATGCAATCTTAGGTATCAACAGAAGTATGCTTTTTAAATCACAGGAAGTAATTTTTCCACTCTATTCTGCTTTGGTCAAACCCAATCTTGAGTACTGTGCTCAATTCTGATCATCACACTTTAAGAAGGATTCAGAAAAATTGGAGCAGGTTCAGAAAAAGGCTACAAAGTTGACCAAAGGATTAGAAACTAAATCCTGAGAAGACAGATTGAAGGAGCAGGATATGTTTAGCCTTGAGAAAAGTTGATTGAGGAGGGATATGATAGGACTTTTCAACTATCTGTAAGGATTTACATAGAAGAAAGTCTAGACCTGTTCTCCATCATTCTGGAGTGCAGGACATGGAATAATGGACTTCAATGACAGGAAAGCAGATTTCTCCAACTAAATATTGAGTGTATGTACATGCATGGAGCAATTCTAATTATAAAAGAAACAAAATTCCCAGACAGGAGGTGGACGTGGTTATATTGGTTATATTCAGGCAGATGCTACACAGCCATCTATCTGGGGTGCAGTGAGCAGGAGCCTGGAGGTGATGGCCTAAATGCACCCTTCCAACCCTAGGGATCTAACCTAAGCAGGACAACAGATACTAAGAGAGAGCAGTGGCACTCCTTGTGATGGAATGTGAGAATGACCTTGGAAGATGGGGGGAGGGTGGAGGGGGGGGAGAGATGCTGCCTATGGAATGATCAGATAAAAGAGAAGGAGCCCACAACTGAGTAACAGGCAGAGAAGAGAAGGAAACTTAGAAAGGACCCGCCCTAACCAACCAGGCGGTAAAAAGGGACGGTGGGGGATTTGTACTTTCAGACTTGCAAGATTCTGTTAATGTAGCCTTACAATAAAGTAGAATTAGCTCATCTGGTTGTGTTTCCTGATTGGTTTACCTGGGAGGGCTGACACTCCTCCCCACTCCACCCCTCACATTCCATTTTGCTTCTTTCCCCCTCACATTCCATTTTGCTTCTTTCCCCCTCACATTCCATTTTGCTTCTTTCCTTTCAGACTTGCAAGATTCTGTTAATGTAGCCTTACAATAAAGTAGAATTAGCTCATCTGGTTGTGTTTCCTGATTGGTTTACCTGGGAGGGCTGACACTCCTCCCCACTCCACCCCTCACATTCCATTTTGCTTCTTTCCCTTAGAGGTCAGAATTGTATGTCTGTCATTCTCAGTATTTATTCATTGTGTTAATATCCCATTTTTTCTCTGGGAGCTCAGAATGATGTACATCAGGGTCTCCTCTCATTTTGTCCCTACCACAGTCATAAGTAGTAGAGTGGGTTGAATGAGAGTAGGCTAAAATTGCCCAGTGAATGAGTGGGAACTTAGTCCTGTGCCTCCCCAGTCTAGGTCTCATCACTATAACCACCACAGTATAGTGGCATAGAGTCACCATTCTGAAATAAAATTCTTTTTGCATTTCAGTCAGCAACTGTATGTGGAGGGAAGGGACACTGTCTAATCCTTTGCTTTTGGTATAAAAACGTGCTGGGCTAATCCTGCATAGATTTGGTAGGTGAATCTCACTTGGTGATTGATAATGTACAATTTGACTCTATTTTGCATCTTTATTCACAGCCAAAACACTTTTTGTTCTTCCTGACCCTTTTGTGATGAGATATGGAATCAATCAGTAAGAATAAACAGCAGATGTATACTGGATTCAGTGTTCAAAGGACTAATATTACGGCCCCACATTCTTAATAAAGATCATGGAACTACGAGTCACTATATGAGCTGGGCGGCTATACAAATGTGATAAATAAATAAACAAACAAATGAATAAGGAATGGCTTTGAAGAGGACAATTGCAACAGGGCTGGGCTGTGTGAAGCTTTGCACCTTACCAAGCTCTTGACCTTACCTTAATCAATTCTCAATAATTTTGTGTTTAGGGACTGCAAAAATATTTTCTTGATTTTGAATGTTCAGTTTTCACGACTTCCTACTGAAATTGTTACTGCTTATATTGTTCCACTATGATTATTCTTATTAATAGGAATGGAGATTGCTATGCATTTAATGTCCTTTTTAATTTGTTTAATGCTCAGCTGATTTGAATTCCTCTTGGATATGTCAGGTCATATATTTTTAAATAAAAGTTGAACTATTGGTGGCAGAGAAAATAATTCCTTTAAGAAATGGAGTCTTGTAATATATTGCCATGAGAAAAAAGAGAGAGAGAGAGAGAGAGAGAGAGAGAGAGAGAGAGAGAGAGAGAGAGAGAGAGAGAGAGAGGGGGGGAGTACTTATTTTCTCTCTAATAAAAAGTGACT